TTCAATCTAAATCTGATTCGTTCTTGCATGATAGCATCAAAATATTGATTTCTGAGAAGATGCCGTGACTTATATAATGAAATTGTATTTTATTGCGCGGATGATCCATTTCTTCGTGTTCGTATGCCAGATCGTCAAGGAAAACATGTTGGCATACGATCACAGCAGTGAGACGTGAGCAAAATAAGTTCCTTCAGCCTACTTCTTGCGCGATCGCAGAAAAGCGAAGGCGGCGAGTGCCGCCCCAATGGTGCTAACCTTGGTTCGTCAAGCCGCGGACATGGTAAGACACAACAAAAACTGCGCAACAACGAAAACTAACTTCGCCGAACTGCAAGCAGCACCACGGCAACTACAGATTGCGAAGCTGATGATTTTGTTGCTTCCTGGCTTCGGGGCACTGGCAAAAGCATCAAACAAGCTCGCAAAACAATATTCGATGCGTTCTGCCTGACTCTCAGGATTCGGTATTCCTTGATCTTCAGTCCAGCCGGCTGCACGATGACCTTCGACCTGACGCCCGAGCTCATGCCCATCCGTTTGACAAAGCCAGCAGTACTCGGAGTAACTAGCTGAGCTGTCGAAGGCAGATGCGCCAAACCCCCATGAGGCTGGCACGGGGCATCTCAGAGCATTTTCCTGTTATTGATCATGCCTTCAGTTTATGACTGAGATAGATTCAGCGTACGATTTTCCATACTCTCTCACTAAGCAGAATGAAGATATACGGCATCCCTGTGCATCCAAGTTCTTTCATGAAAACTAGGTAGGCGACACTTTTGGCACAGCGAAGGCGCGTCGTTCATTTTTGGAGTATTTTGTGTGACAAGCCAGAAAACATCGAGTTTTGTGTGGTTTTCATGAATAAGACGATGGTTCGCCCTTCGTTGTTCATGTTGTTGCTAATTTTTGTTGACGTGTTTTTGCGAAGCATCGTACATACCGTGGGGTTCGTTGCTTCTCTTGCCTGAGTTTTGCGTCATATCTTTTAATTATATCTAAACTATGCTCAGAGAAGCTACAGCGCGTGTGTTTAACTTTAAGCTTTGTTTGGAGAGTCCACGAAGCGCGAGACTTGTGTATTGGGAGCGTCTGACAGAGCACATGAAAACAGCAGCAACACGGAGCAACTCTATCATTTGCAACGTAATTCTTATCGCATCTTCCGCATGGGCTAGCAACAGCATCAATGTCAAAATCATCATAATCATCAGACTTGTCAAGGTCATCCTATCCAGGAGCCTCAACGTTTTCAGTACCATCATTAGCATGATCATAAATAGCAGCAGCATCATCATCACCATCCACATCACGGTCAAGGCAAGAATGACCAGCCTCTGTGCTAAGCCCAGAAACCCTACCTCGAACCCCAGACGCATGGACAAGGTTCAGTCGTCTGCTTGGTCCGGGAACCATCCGCACCCTACACGGCGCTAAAAGAAAAACAGATGTAAGCTGCATCGACCCCCGTCTTACCTCTGCGTGGAGCAAAAGAAGAACACTGGATTATGTGCCGCTTTGACATAACGTCATCAAAATCATCAAACCCCCCGCCATCCCCTTCCCACACGGAAGCAAAAAGAAACACAAACAACTCAAGTTTAAAGAAGAAAGCAGACGACTTGCAAGCAAACGACTGAAACGGAGAAGACACGGATGACTGTAAACACGCATAATTAGAAGTCCAAACTGCCATGGCCATGTGCGAAAAATCGAGTTTTGGCACAGTACATGTTTCTTCAAGCAAGCACTGTAAAACACGACATGCAAGGCGCAGTTTTTTGTTTTGACGGCTATGTGCCAAAACCCGTGGCACATTGCAGCCCTGAAATCGCTCCACGCTTCGTAGCGGCAGACGCGTCAGCTGCCCAAAACTACAAGCTGATCCGGCAGGTCCACTCATCCCAGTTTTTCTTGAACCTGAGAGATTCTGAGAAGTGTGGATGATCTCGATACTTCGCGCGATGGTTTAACGGTTTCCCACTGCGGCACTTCCGCATAAACTTGTGTGGTCATGCGCACGCACTGGTTGGATCAGAATTGGATGCGACGTCGTGGCATGCTGCGAGACAAGGTGGCAGACTGAATGGCCAGCAGCGGCTGGCAAAAGCTGTGGAGGTAATTCAAATAAGAACACAAGAAAGATGATGCTGCCCAAAGAATAAGCTCAGCTGGGGACTTGTTGTTCACAGCCCTCCAACATGCCCTTCAGGACAATCGCTTCTTCGGCTCGAGCCTGTTCCGAGTGGAGGGCATCCTGCACCAATGACACTGTTGTACAAGGCATGGCTCTGACTCCGACCGGGGGGTGTGCCTCGAACTCTCCGGAAGCATCCTTGCCAGCAACATCCTGCAGGAGGTGTGCACCTGGACTTGATCTGGTCTCTGCGACACACGGTTCATGCTTCGACAGTTCCGATGGAAGACGTGTGCGGCCTCCTGGGTGATCAGGCATGAACTTGGAAACATCGTAAACCAAACCATGGATCGCCATCCAAACATCGCCTTCGGAGTTGTGCTTCTTCAGTTCTTCATGGCTCACGACCTTCATGGTCGTGCAGACGACAAGGCACCACAAGCTTGAGCCCTCGCAGCTACAGGTGAAACTCCCCTTCCACGGAGAGATCACAGATAGTCACGGCACATTGCCATCGCATGACCTGCACTTCCTCTAGCTGCCCGCTCACCTCGCAACACTTGCAGGGCTGCTGACTCATTGGTGCTACGGTAGATGGGGGAAACCTTGCACTGCCCAGATGCTGGCTCATGACATCGCTCAGCACTTCCAGACGCCGGAAGCTTTCTTTACTTGTTGAACAGAGGGAGCGGCGCACTCTCTTCCTGTCCCTGACAACTTAAACTGGTGCAGGATATCCTCCATCATCCGTACCAACATTCCAACCGAGTTTCGGAGAAGCTTGGGCAACTGGGTTTTGGGTGGAAGTGCCTGCAAAGCCGCTTGATTACCTCTTTTGAAAGAACTATACGAGCCCTCCTAATGACAGACACAAAAGGGATAGAACAGAATAACTAGACCGCCTTGCTGGAGGCCTGTGAAACAGAATGCCGTTCCTGGACCAGTTCGGCAGTGTCGCCCGTGGGCCAACCAATACATGAACATTCTGCAATGGTACTTTTTACGGCCACCTTGAACTGCTTCAATAAGAAATCCGCACCAGCTTTTTGACACTGTCGATGATGTGCTATGGCGACTGGTGCAAGATTTTTCGTCAATGGAGCCGCACAACGCTGAATCTGGTATAAAGCGTAAACACGGGGTACGGGAATGGGGCGGGTTACTCTCTTCCTGACTACTTATACAAACTGTTGCAAGGCTTCCTCTATTTGCAGTGGCTGGTATGATGCACACAGGTCTCCGCTGCAGCCCACTCCATGTTTTGCCAAGTGACTGCAAAGAGTTATTCGACAAGCTGGAGCGCCTCGTTCAGCCATAAAAATAAGAAGCCGGTTCTCATCCGACTACCAGGTCCACTTCTGCTTTCTTGCACTTTTCCTGCGGACCTTCCTGACTGTAGGGCGTCGCTGCAGGGATTCCCTGGTCAGTGATTCTGGCTCGTTAGGTAGAACTGCACCAACCTGAGTCTCCAGCGCGTCTATGTCCACACCCAGCTTTCGCGAAGCAGCGGCAAGTTTCAACAGGTCAAAGACGCCGAGCTCTCCCAAGCCACTGGGGCCTAGTACACGCAAGATCTTCTGTCGGAAGCCGAGTGGCATCTCGTAGTCAACTTTGGCTAATGCATGCAAGAGCTTCACCGCATCACGGGTAGTCAGCTCTTCTTCGGGCCTTCCTACCAAAGAACCAAGAACCGTACCGAAAAGCCTCGCAGGGGCAATGTGAACTTTGGCAAATGCATGTACGATGTTGATGAGCGATGGCGAATCCAAGATGGCAATAGCCCTTGTGTCACTGCTCTCGCTTTTGCAGGTCACAAACAAATCCGCAAGAGTGTCATACAATTTGGAATCTCTGACTTGAAACTTTCCAAATGCCATCGTCAGTGCCGAAAGCTCAGCAATGGTGGCCTTCGTCAGATCACACAGGTGACGGTGAGGAACTTCCTGACTTTCTGCTGCCGTCGAAGCCGTGGACCGGCGGAGCATCTGGACGGCTCGGCCAGTCAAAACAGGACAGCTGATCCCAGCTTTTGCGAGAGAAGCCAGGGTAGAACTCATCAAAGAAACGTCCAAGACATGCAAGTGACGCCGCACTTGAACTGAGAGCAAGTCTAGCAGGGCAGTATCTTGACTCGTAAACTTCGCAAAGCCGTAAAGAACGTCTGACAGCTCTGCTGGCGTGAGGTCACCTCGGACATCCTTGTCTCGGAGCCTGCCGGCCAACGTTGCAAACATCCTTTCATGATGAACTCGCACAACGGCAAAAGCCTTCGCTGCACAAGCGCAGTCGCCTGCACTTAAAGCGGTGGGCTGCCGCCCGAGCGCATCACCGATCCCCAACAGCAAAGCCGATACTTGACGGTCACCTCGCATCCTAAAGCACGTGAATGCCCGCAATAACTTGCACATCTGGGGCAGCGTGAAGAACGAGAGGTGCTCCAAAGCGACTCTTGCTGCCCCATCAAGAAGTTCAGCTCGACTGCCCGATTTTTTACTTCTGTCGTCAAGGTCTTGAGGTAAGCATCCTTCGATGTGCATTTCTGCCAGGGACAACAGAGAGCTGGAGAGGCATTCTGCAGTGGCACGCGATTGCCGAAGCAGCTCGAAAAGTGCGGCTTCAAGAGCTCTCAGAACACGATCATTGCGGAGCCGCAGCTGCGCATGCGAAAGAAGCACCAAGGCAAGGCTTTCGCCGTCAATCCCCTGCTCCGCTGCAGACACAGCCATGTCACCCAAATTGTACCTGAGCTCGTCTCCACTAGCCTCGCACCCCATCCCTACGAATGTTTGTTTCAAACACATCTTAGGACGACACGAACCTCATGGCAAGAAGCATAAGCTCATTGTCGTGGTGGCGAACAGATACTGCAGCAACAGCAAACGAAGCTAAATCTTGAAGCTTCACGTCGCTCCCCAGAAGCCGCTGAGCCTGTAGACTGCACTGCCTCCAAAACTGAGGATCTGTGTGATTGCTCTGGGCAGCGCTGCGGGCCACCAACAGCAGCGTCGCAGCGTCGTTTATGCTCCCAGCCTTATACACTAAGTGTGCAGGTAAACCGTCCGCGGTAGTCGAAAATCGTCGCGACAGAGAAGCAGCGTAGTGCAGCGATCTCGGAAGTTGTCTTGACAGTTGCTCAGATTTACCACCAAATCTCGGCTGCAGAATCGACTGGCAAACACGTGTTTTGGTCGTCTTCTTTGCCGAAAACGCCAGCATGTTCACAAACATGCCCTCTCCTCTCGCTAGTAGACTGCATGGACGGCATGAGCCACATCTGGCCAAAGGCAAGAAACACGGCGGGCTTCGATTAAGCAGTGCTGTCTTGCTGAATCTGCAACCGTGCCTGCTCCTGTCATGGCATAGCACCCTAGAACTGCATTGTCAAGCTGGCTGGGAACCCTGGAAAAGAATGAAAAGACTGGCTTTAGGAAGGCACAACACAAAGCTGCAGGCTTTTCATGACACCATGCCAAAGCGAAACAAACACAGCAAATCTCAGAAAGCCGATGAGCGACTTGCCACGGCGCGGTCGTGCAAACTGAAAGCCTTCCCGCTGCGATACCCGCGAGGCCTCCTTCCTAACTAACATGTACAGAGCCAGTTGCAACCACACAGACTGGAATTGGTGCTGTCGGCCCTCCCTGATTGACCACACCCCGACCATTCGGTTCCCGAGCAACACGACTAACTGAGGCTTGCTTGGGCGAGGGGCGTGAGTTAACTTTCTTTCGAGTGCGACGTAAAACAGGACGCTCTGCATAAGGCATCAATCAAAATGAGCCCCGTCATGCGGACGGGCTTTTCCTGCAGCCAGTGTCTCTTTGCACGTTGTATCAAGGAGTTGAGGTCAAGGCATCTGACTAAACTAGATGCGGTGCCGCTTTTGCGATTGGGGTGTCGCAACAAAGATCCAGCCGCCCGGTGCAAGCCCAAAGCGGCATCACCTTCCACCCCGTGCACAATTCACAACAGAATGCTGACAGCATCCCGCACAAAAACCTAGCAGGTCTGGCTAAGCGCTATCACGGCCGACCAAATCTTGAACCCTGTCTATCAGCATTAACACAAGCGGCCTTTGTCCTCTCCGCGACTGTTGCATGTCCTGCCGGTGCCCGTTCACTTCCTGCTCAATGAGCATAAACCTATCATACCTGAGACAGTCTTCAGTGTCTAGGCAGGATTTCTCATTCCCGAAGCACTGTGCTCCCCGTGAACCAAGAACACCGGAGGACTTGGAAGACCGCTGCTATCCGCTGCTGACCATGTTGCAGGGGCATGCCTTTGTACAGAAACTGCAACGCTTCGCACAGGTCTCCGTCCGAATAGGCACAATGCAGACCTGCATCCCGCACCTTGCCACATCAAGCCAGGACATGCTACGTCAACACAGAAAAGTTCTTCTGTAAGTTCATGCCAAGACTCCATCGCCAAACCTGGCATGTTGTTTAAGCAGCATCTTTGCTGGCGTAATGCTGTTCAAGCCCGAAGCACCTGTTGCATTGAAGTCAACGAAGCTCTGCTCAGAGTCGTTGGAAGCCAAGAGTTCCGAAAGCAATGTGTCACGCAGCTGAGCATAGCTTTCACCTGGGCCTTGGATGGCAAGTTGCATTCAAAAGGGAATCGTTCTCCAACAAGGCGTGGCTGCTCGCCCTTCTGCTCTCATTCATCTTTCGAGCCGCTCCTGGCTTGGGCCGCGGTGGCTACCGAACCATCTCTCCCTCTCTCTGTGCATACAGCACGGCGAGACGCCATGCAGCAAGCTGTGGATGAAGTCGGAAGCCCGCTGGCTGAGGCCGCAAGGCTGCCTCGAAGCAAAACGGCTTGTGCTGCATCCGACGAAAAATCAGGATGTGGTGCACCGGCGATGGCGTCCACATCAACGAGCTAAGGTTTGCGGCCCAATGTTAAGTGAACTTTGACTTTGGGTGTCTTCTGATCGTCAAGCCAAGGTATATAGGATCTGACTAACGAAGCACAGCGGCAGATTGCCCCACGTGATTCCGCACACAAGTCAATCAAAACCATACCCGATGCCAACACACGGAAAGGCCGACGAAAAAATTATAAGATGAAGAAGCCTGCAGGCATCAGGAGCTGGGCACGTTCGCTCTCACACGATGCCTATCTGCAGTACAGGCCTATCGTCTCCGTCGCGATCACCTTCACGAGCCGCCTCTTCGAGCTAACACATGTCTGCCCGCTGTGTCTGTCGGCATGTCGTGAATGCATCCATGCTCATCAAAGACGAATTGCCAGAGCTTCGCCTCCGGAGATCCACAGTCTCTGTCTCCCTGAGACGACGTCTCCGCAAGCTCGAGATCCAAAGCTCCGAGCTCTGCGTTCAATGCCGAGAGCTCCTGCAGGCAGTGCTTTTGCACATGCGTGCGTAGGGTGCCACTCATGTCTCGTCCTCCTGCAGGTTCCTGGCCTGTGCTGCCCTTGCTCTGACGTCGTCTTCGGGTTCTTCCATGGAGTCAGACTCGCCAAAGCCCGCATCGACCGCACTGCCACGGGCAACTTCAGAGGAAAACCTGTCTGGCTTGCGTGGCGATCACTCGGTCGCTAGGGGCGGGAGCGATGAGAATACATAAACAACCATGACAGCATCAAATCTTTGAAGATCCTTCAACAACCAAGGCTAGGGCTTCGACATTGGTGCATCTGCAGCAGTTTGGGAGCTCTCAGGCGCAGCCGAAACAAGACTGAGCAAGGACCTCGCCTTGGCACCCCAACTCCCAGGGAGACCAGCCCCACTCAGTGTGTAGCTGGCACACCAGGTTAGAGCTTCCATCCCACCTTTGATCTCACACAGGACCTGATCCACAGGATCATTAAGCATCTCCACCACTGGCGGCCGGTGTAGCAGTGGCACCATCAGCTCGCCGCCTAGTCGCTGCCAGTCATTGGGGTGTTCATCCGACGTCGCAGGAGGTGACAAGACGAGTTGAACAGCAACTCGCAGCACGGTCTTGACATCGTCAGAACCTGAGAAAAGATCGGCTGGTCGCGGGCATATCGCGATAAGATATGTGCTTGCACGCAAAACCGGGGAGAGCAGCCTGGCGAGTGTCTCCAGGCCGCCGCATCCATCAGCAGTATGGTCTGGAATCTGCCACAGTTGGACGAGAGCCGCGAGGAGAACTCTGCCTGGAGGAGTCCACGTTTCGGAATGCAGATCAAAAACCGCCGCATCCGAAGCTCCAGGCTTTGTCGAAGCGAACAATGGGAAGCTGCCCGGCTCATTTCGAAGCACTTTGCGCAGGACTGCAAGACAGGAGGCGTTGTCTTCTGACAAGGCTATGGCCTGAACAACGTCCCTGCTGTCCAGCAGCACGAACAATGCACGGGCCACTTCCCTTTGCAAATCCATCGCCGACGGCAAAGTGTGGCAGAAGGAAGCTTGCCCAACGCCCCAAAGGTAGGCAAACACCTCTGCCAACATACTGGCATCGCTTTGGCTCACTTGTATCGACAGGTTGCTGGGCGACTGTGCAAACAAAAGCTGCACCACCAGGTCATGAAAGTGCAACTCGGGCAAACCGCCGGAATCGGAAAGTCGGCCAAAGCGCGCAGTAGCTAGGTGCAGCAGAGAGGCAACCTGGCGGACAGATCTTGGCGGACAGACTGACAGGTCTGTTCCTGTCTGTGCCAGCCTGGATGAGTGCACAACCATGCACTCCAGTGTCGCCCTGGCCACAGTGCAGCTGCAAGATGCCAAGAAAGAGCAAAAGGCCGGAAAACAGAGATCCCTTCCGAGCAAAGACGCCACCCAGTTTTTCACCTCATCATCAAACAAAACGCTTGAATCGGTAACTGCCGCCTTCGGCGCGTGATCCGTGCAAAGACTGACTTCCGCATCTATCTCAATCACCGTCTGCGCAGAAACACCGGACGAGACGCGTTTCGGTGATGCGACCTGTGCACAACCCTCCACTTGCAAGAATGCTCGCAAGAATAACCGCACGAGGAAGCGACCAAGGTCTTTCGAAGTCAACAAGAACTCATGCACAACCGCCAAAGCTTGCATTCCTTGCACACTGCCATAGACGCGGTTGTCACGGAACGGGTGCAAACAGTGAGGCCACCGAAAAACAAACTCTTCAAGAAGATGCACCGCTGCGCAGCCTGTCGCGCGGACCACGGAAGACAAGCCGCATGTCGAACTTGCGTCGCCCCCGAATGTGTGGCTGTCGTCAAAGCTTATTCGGCTCCTTAATGGCCCCGTCAAAATGCTTGTCAGCAAATCAACTGCGCCAGATGCCTGAGAAGCTAGAACACCTTGTGCAGAAGCTGCCTCCAGCTTGCGGCATAAAGCCTGAAGCGAATCGCAAAGAAGGCTAGCAATGGTGGCGACTTTATCGCGGTGCGGTGCAAAGAGCTTGGCATCATGAGCACTGCCACCGAGCAGGGCCAGCAAGGCATCCAACCCTGCAGCTGCCAGGAACACGTTGAAGAAATACATTCGCACGTCGTCGGTCAATGCATGCGACGGATCTGACGTGTCACCCAAACGCAAGCTCATCTCTAAAACTGTCTGAAATGCAAGCTCTGCGAGTTGTCTTTCTGCAGACAGAGGACTCGGTACTGCACGCGATTGACTGTTGTGCCAAGGCAGGGATGACAGCGGCGGAGGCATGCGGCTTGACACCCATACCACCATCGTCGGTGCCGCTGGTGGCAAAAACGTCGAGCAGAAGATGCCCACGAACAAGACTCTGTGCGCGATGGAATGCCACTCATGTTGCACCAATTGCGATAGCTGGCATACAAGTGCGTTGGGTGTCCGGCTGAGAAAGTCTTTAAGCACAGACTTGGACACACACCCACACATGGCAATGAGGATATCTAGCGCCCACACAACCCCCTCCCGGCTGAATCCAGATATCGAGCAACTCAGCAGCCTACGTACGCCAACGTTCTCATCGCACCATAACTTCAGGTCAGCGGGGGCTGCCCTAGCAATGACAGCCAACAGCCAAGGCAACTTGTGTCGAAAGCACTCACAGGTCTTGTCGACTGGTTTTTTCATATTCCTCGGAAATGCCAGATCGACCAGTGCACGAATCGTACGAGGGCAAGCAATGACGTGGAAAGCTCCTGCTGGCATGAAGTGGTTTGCATCATCCACGCTGTGCTTTGCAAAGAAACTGCATAGAGATTCCGCTGCTTGAACCCGACGGCTGTACTCTTCTAGCTGCACTGCTTCACAAAGCACATCCACCATCCCGCTCGCCGCTAAATCTTGTCTAAAGCGGATGCTGGATTCAGGGATAGCATGGCACATGTTGCAGAGGCAGTCGAAGCCCGGCAACTGCCGCCGTCCACCGTCACTGTCAGGTGCAACTGACTTTACTTCTTGTTGCGCCATGCCGACAACCACATCGAGCATGTCTGTTGTACAAATGACCTCCAGAAACAGAGCTGATGTGGATAACGATTGCACGATGCATCCGATCATGCTTTTCTTGCTCTTCTTGATGACGGCAGACGCGCAACTTGCATCCGTGTTAGCTTCAACATCGAGCGAATGAATGAGTGCAGGCAGAATTCCACCCTCCAGAAACCACCTGCAAGCGTTGAGATCGTCCACCATGAACTCGATGAGCATGGCCATAACTTACAACAAAACAAGCTGAAGCAAAAATAAGACGCACTGCGTGCCCTGTTTGCCTACACTACTTGATCAGGCTGAATAAGTTGGCTGCTGATGGAGCTAGGCAGTAAGCCAGCGTACCCCAGATTTTCGTCGCAAACAGAAACCTATATAAAGGCTTGGCATGACTCCTGCCGTTTTGCGCAAAACCCGAAAGTGGCTGATTACGACGATTACGACACGTCCCCGATTCCAAGCATTGGGGGAACGAAGATTCTGCCCAGGCACCAGCACAACAGGAACACGAATGCTCAAAACCTCATATCCTATTAATCTCCTGTGCTGCCGAAGCTTTCGATTGTTTTTGATGTCCAGCTCTTCTTTTCTTCAATAGCATCTTTTGATCATTGTGTTTGTTTCGTGTTTGTGACTTCACGCCTTCAAACTGCGGGGTGTTGTCTGACGACCTTGCTGGATTCGTCAACTTGTTGTTTCCACCAGGAGGGCTTTGGAAAATCTTCGATCAACGAACCCTGTTAAACCCGCCTCGAATTCCATATAAGCTTTTCAATCTTCCTGCAAACATCACCGGTGCAGTAACATCATGCCGATTACGACCACAACTGTGTAAAATGTTGCGACTAACTGAAACCACGAACAGGACGGTTTCGGAAATCATCAAACTCGTGACACGTCCAAACTTCGTGCCACCCCGCCTTCCCGGCGAGGCGAACCAAACCGTTGCAGAAAAATCAATCAAACAAACAAAAACTTTGGTTGTGTGCAAAACATGAGGTACTGGTAGCGCAGGATGGTCCGGCGTTGTTGTGGAACTGTGGTCCAGAAAGCTTCAAGCTGCGTCTTTCGAAACGTCGACTTCCTAGTACCAATTGAACCATGCAACTGTGGCGATCCTCGGGGCTGGCAGTCGATTCGACGAACCTCTGTGCCATCAGCTTGCAAGTTTCCTGACGGCACAATTGATCTCGCAATCGAGCCAACCTTGCTGGGCAAAACATTTATTTCAAAAAGCACTTCTCTACAAATGTAAAGTTAGCTTCCACATAAGACGAGAAGCCCGCGAGCGGAATCGTGCAGATCAACAGCCGAAACACGTCTTGCAGCCGTCGCCAATGCTCCAGCTGCGAGGACTCCGGATCCGTCGCACCAGTTCTCCTGCGACGCAAAGGGCATAGTGAGGTCATTGCAACAAGACTCACACTGCGATGCAACCCGAGCAAGGCATACAGTAAGATGGCTTTTGACCTTTGAATCCTTTGACTCGTTCCGCCCAGACAAAAATCACACAACCATCAAAGTAATGGCACAGAAATCCACAGAAGGAGCCTGGCAACTGCCTGACCAGACCCATACAACTCGCAGTTCAGATTTGCTGTTGCGTTCCGAACACCTTGAAATATGCTTACACCACTAGTAATTTTGTTGCATCGCAAAAATTCAAGATGGCCGGCGCCAAGTTCCACAAAGTCCGGGTTAGGGCCGATGCGGCTGGCCGGAGCTCCGCACAAAAGCAAACGGCTCGGCTCTTCGAAGTCGTGGCGTGTGGCCGATCGCTTGCAACTCTAACCCGACGGAAAGCACACGAAAGCACTCAAGCGGCTAGCTCATACTGCCTTCGCAAACAAAGCCTCGCACACCTAGCGGATTTTCTCCGAATAGAAAAGCCGCGTGATGCAGGTATTCGTGCCGATTTTGCACTCACATCACCTCGTTTAGCCACATCAGGAATGTCGAAACCCCATGTGTGTGAGCTGTCTGTGTGCCCCAGGTATTCATGCCTATTTTGCAATCACATCACCTCGTGAACGAATCTCCATGTACAGGCCGCCCGGAGGCGGGCGTCAACACATGTAACGGAACGAGTGAACTGTCCACGTGCCACAGGTATTCATGCCTTATTGTTTGCATGTCACATCACATCGTTTATCCTCGTTTCATCACATTAGCAATAGCGGCTGTAGACGGAAGCACACATAAGCTTTTTTTTCTCGCGAGGTCGGTCAATGTGGTGGGTCGAAGGCCTAGCCAACTGCAACCGGACTCGGTAGGCACACTCCCTGGATAGGCGAGGATTTGCCATCTGCACGTCAGGGACTGGCTGAGCAGATGGCCCTTGCCAGTCCGGCGGATCCCCGGCAGCCAGACATCCCACCCGAGCAGCACACCACTCACGCAACCCCAAGGCAGGATTGGTGACGGCGATAGTTCAGGAGAGAGAAGGCGGATCGCTTGTTGCATGTTTTGTTTGAAAGTGCGTCATCAAGAACAAAGAATGAAGCCGCAAGGGCCAAGCCACGACGCGACCAAGCAGCTTACCATGAGCTGCACCAGGGCGCTGTTTTGAGCGGGGGACATTAAGGCGAGGGAAGCTCAAATAATCAGCGGCTTTAGTTGTTGCACCGAAAGACAGGAAGCTCCAAGGAGCATCCTGTGTCTCAACGAAGCATGAGACACAGCTTTGCTTCCAAGAGCAACACATAAATACTCTACCACTCACACACCCCCAAAAAGGATTGGTGGCGGCGAAAGTTCAGGCTTAGAAGGTTCTGAGGACTTGCTTGACGAGCGGCTTCAGTTATTGCACCGAAGTTCCAAGGAGCATCTTGCGCCAAGCGAAGCATGAGAAGCAGCTGTACTTCCAAGCGGTACACATCATGTGAGAAGACATAGACTAATCAACCACACACGCAACCCTAAAAGGATTGGTGACGGCGAAAGCTCAGGCTCAGAGGACTAGCGTAACGAGCGGCTTCAGTTATTGCACCGAGAACTAGAAGGCTAGAAGGTCCAAGGAGCATCTCGTGCCAAGCGAAGTATCAGACACGGCTGGAAATATACATCGTGCAACACAAACATGAACTATTCAAGTGGACAAGAGAGCAGGCGTCAACCAGCTGGTGCAGTCTTTTATTTTCTCAGGGACCCCGGCGCTTGTTCAGGTGCTTCAACAGATTACCCGCTGTTGCAAGCCATAGAATGACATCCCGGGGGTCACTCAAGTTGGCTCCGACAACGTATCGAGTGGCGCGGTCCACCCACGCCGGAACATGCCGCATGTACTGCATTGCCACATCGCACTCAAAGAACCAAAGAATAAATGTTCAGGGGCCTCCAAGGAGTCCTTGGCGCAAAAGCGGCAAGGAGCAACAGGACCAGTGGCGGTACCAGAGAAGTAGCCTGGGAGCTTCGGCTGGGACCAGGCTTGAGCATCTCTAATGCCAATCCAAAACATTGCAAGCTGGTGCACTGTCCAGTGAGAACCACGGCAGCTCTGCCAGTGTTCGAGATTTTTTGCAGAAGAATGCCAAGCTGCACCAGGGCGCTGTTTTGAGCGGGGGACATTAAAGCGAGGGAAGCTCAAATAATCAGCGGCTTTAGTTATTGCACCGAAAGACAGGAAGCTCCAAGGAGCATCCTGTGTCTCAACGAAGCATGAGACACAGCTGTGCTTCCAAGAGCAACACATAAATACTCTACCACTCACACAACCCCAAAAAGGATTGGTGGCGGCGAGAGTTCAGGCTTAGAAGGTTCTGAGGACTTGCTTGACGAGCGGCTTCAGATATTGCACCGAAGTTCCAAGGAGCATCTTGCGCCAAGCGAAGCATGAGAAGCAGCTGTACTTCCAAGCGGTACACATCATGTGAGAAGACATAGACTAATCAACCACACACGCAACCCTAAAAGGATTGGTGACGGCGAAAGCTCAGGCTCAGAGGACTAGCGTAACGAGCGGCTTCAGTTATTGCACCGAGAACTAGAAGGTTAGAAGGTCCAAGGAGCATCTCGTGCCAAGCGAAGTATCAGACACGGCTGGAAATATACATCGTGCAACACAAACATGAACTATTCAAGTGGACAAGAGAGCAGGCGTCAACCAGCTGGTGCAGTCTTTTATTTTCTCAGGGACCCCGGCGCTTGTTCAGGTGCTTCAAAAGATTACCCGCTGTTGCAAGCCATAGAATGACATCCCGGGGGTCACTCAAGTTGGCTCCGACAGCGTATCGAGTGGCGTGGTCCACCCACGCCGGAACATGCCGCATGTACTGCATTGCCACATCGCACTCAAAGAACCAAAGAATAAATGTTCAAGGGCCTCCAAGGAGTCCTTGGCGCAAAAGCGGCAAGGAGCAACAGGACCAGTGGCGGTACCAGAGAAGTAGCCTGGGAGCTTCGGCTGGGACCAGGCTTGAGCATCTCTAATGCCAATCCCGAACATTGCAAGCTGGTGCACTGTCCAGTGAGAACCACGGCAGCTCTGCCAGTGTTCGAAGTTTTTTGCAGAAGAATGCCAAGCTGTCTGCTCGCCGGCGCGCATGGCCGGAATAACCACTGTGGAGGCATGGGGGCATAACTTGGCTTTGGTCTGCTTTGCCAGAGGCATTGGAACCATCAAAATCCAACATGGACAATCCCAGCTCCTGCTCTTTGCGCACTACAGCAGCCGGCCAAGAGGAGGGCTCGGACTCAGCCAGTTCAAGAATCTCGTTTTCAGTTCTGTACCGGGCATCAATGCGGGCACGCCGCCGCACCATAATAGCTCGGCTCCACGCCACCGATGACAAGCAATCTCGAGGAGCTGAATTCTTCGCTCCAAGAATCTTTCGGAACCAAGAGGCCTGCATTGCATTAGTTTGCTTTTCGAAGAACGGAACCTGGACTGTAAGCTCAATTGCATGGGCCACTGAAGGCAGCATCCTTGTACGCACAGCCAAGAGGTGCGCATGCACCGGAAATCCCGCCGAAGACAGTTCTGCCAGCAGGATGTGCATTTCCGTAGCACACCAAGAGCAAGGATGCACTGGAGGTGTGCTCTTCCGTCGAACTGAGTAGCCAAGGATACTCCGAGCTGAATGTGAGAATCAACAAACTCAACAGGGGAGCCTTGAAGCATAAACGGCTAGATACAGTTCGTCCCGGCCTTGTAGATGTACTGGTCCGTGGGCGCTGCTTCACCCAGGACACGAATCGCGGCAGCGGCATGACCAAGCGATGCCACAGGGACCAGAGTATCATCGACGAAACTGCGCAACCCAAGGCGAATAGAAGAAGCCATATCTAGCAATAGCAGCCTCGCCGAATCATTGGGGGGTGAACTCATGGCTTCCGGACACGACATGGAGGCGTCACACGCCATGGAGTACAGCATGGACGCCGAGTCGGTGTCATAGCAGCCGTCAGCAGAGCCATCCGCAAGCGCGTGGAAAGCCGAGACAGCCTCCATCGGGGGATTAAGGCCAATACCGCTCATGCGAGCATCCGCTAGCTTGCCAAGATTTGCTTGCGCTAAGCAGAATTGGAGCGGAGACAGCTTCCGCCCCTCAATTGTACCAACGTCAATGCTGAAGCAGGCTGGGCGAGATCCACCTTTCACAATGCTCATACGCGTTGATTGCAGGAGCTCGTCCCCGATGAGCCAAGAAGCTGGACAGGAAGCCAACTGATGCAAGTTCACAGAGACCCTTCGATAGGGAGGGGTGGGGGTTGTTGTTCGTAGATTTGGGGAACAACACCCCCCCCACCCGGTGGACGGGGCACGGGCAAGGGGGGGGTGAGAACAACAACAGGGGGGTGGTGTTGTTCTCCATTTGGAGAACAACATGAGAGAACAACAACCCCCCCCCTTGCTGTTCCCCGCATTCTTGAGAGAACAAAAACACAACCACCCACCCCCCCCTTCCCTTGTTGTTCTCTCAAGAATGCGGGGAACAACAAGGGAAGGGGGGGTTGTTGTTCTCTCAAGAACGCGGGGAACAACAAGGGGGGGTTGTTGTTCAACAACACCCCCCCCTTCCCTTGTTGTTCCCCGCATTCTTGAGAGAACAACAAGAGAAGGGGGGGCGGTGTTGTTGTTCTCTAAAGAACGCGGGGAACAACAGGGGGGGGTTGTTGTTTGCTCGCTCGAAGGACTCATCAGTCGTGAAGTCTGGTACGCGGACATGGGCCCAATGTTGCTCACGCATGCGGCATCTGAGAGCATCAAGTGCTGCATCGGCCTTGACTCGGTGAATAGGGTCGGCAATATCAGGAACACACGGAAAGTCCCGAACATAGTCGCACGCTCCTTCCAGCAAGTCAGGGCCAGTGATGACTGAGCCATCGGTTGACACCATGTCGTCGGGAAGGCCCAAGGTAGGTCGACGGAGACATTTGGC